GCCCTCTGGCATCCCAAGCCAGCTCTTAACCATCGCGCTACTCAGCCGGCCCACTTCCAACCCATTTTTGTCTTTGCTTCTAAGGTGTTCCTCTTACAGACAGCATCTTGCTGGATCTTGCTTCTCTGATAATCTTGCCCCTGCTTGGGGTACAGCGACCATTACGGTCAATGTAATTATGGATGTGGTTGGACTTTTGTTTTTTCACTCTATTTTCTCTATGTTTTCTGTCCTTTTCTGTCTCCCTGTTTTGGGTTTAAATAAGTATCTTTAGTATACCACTTTAATTCTTGTTTGTACTCTTAAATTAACTGTTTGCTTGACGGGTGATCGCAGTATGCATCTCATCAGATTGCCACTAATTTCCATGAAACAGAGAACCTGTCTCAGCACAGCTCCCTGCCCCTTCTCCTGTGCAGCCTACACGTATTACGTATTGCATGACAACAGTGCCTTTATAAGTATGGCTTTATACAATCCTGTGTCTCTCACAGAAGACGTGAGAATGAACATCCACATAGATTCTCTTATGCTAACCCACTTTTACCATTTCCAGTGCTTATCTTTTCTTCCCGTAGATTTAATGCTGCCTGGTGTCATTTCCATTCAGGCAGAAGGTCTCAGGTATTTCTTGAAGGCAGGTCTTACTAATGGTGGATTCCACCAGTTTATGTTCACCTGGGAGTCTTGACTTCCCTCTTCCTGGTGAAATGCTTTTGCTGGCTATACACTTCCTGGTGGACACACCTTCTCTCAGCAGCATGGCTGTGCCATCCCACTGCCTTATGGCCCCCACCTATGAGCAGTCAGCTACCAGCATCACCAAAGCTCCCCCTCTATTGAGACTGTTTTTCGCTTGCTGCCTTTCAAGATTTTTTTCTGTGGCTTTCACCAGTTTGACTATGATGTGACTGTATACCATGCTTGGGGTTCACGGATCTTTTAGAGAATGCAGATAAATGTTTTTCATTAAGTTTGGAAAGTTTTCAGCCATTATTTTCAAAAACACCGTTGTGCCCCTTCTCTCTTCTCTGCTGGGAAGCCATCACATGGATGTTGTCCCACTAACCTTTGAGGCTCTGTTCACTTTTCTTGCACGTTTTTTCTTTCTGTTCTTCAGAAAGCACAATTTCTACTGCTCCATCTTCAAGTCCCCTGCTTCCAACTCTTTTCTCAATCCAAGTCTTTGCTAAATCTGAACACTCAGTTTCTACTGATGCTTTTCTTCTGTAACAGGTGTCATACTTTATTTCTTTGTACGTCTCAAAACTTTTTGTTGAAAATTGGACATCTGAGATGCCGGCCGAGTGGCTCAGCTGGTTAAGAGTTGGCTTAAGAGCGAGAGCTCTGAGAAACAGGGCCACCGGTTTGATTCCCACATGGGCCAGTGACGCTGTGCCTGAGCTGAGCTGCCAACAGGTGGCAGGATGGCTCAGTCGGTGTAACAAGATTGCCTGTTTGATGGTGGGCTATGCCCACCCACAACTAAGACTGAACTTGGAACCTTGAGCTGAGCTGCCACCTGAGTGGCTCAGTGGATAGAGCGTGCACCTTAACAAGGCTGCTGGTTCGACTCCCGCATGGGATGGTGGCTATGCCCACTAGCAACTAAAATTAAACACAGCACCTTGAGCTTAGAGGCCACGAGCTGACGGGCAGCCAGATGGTGACTGGTGCCCTCCACAACTAAGACTGAAGAACAACAACCTGGCTGGTCCCCCTCCCCAATTCCCCAACACTGTTCCTTTCCCCCAACACCCCAATAAAATCTTAAAAAAACAAATTGGCCATCTGAGATAACATGTTGTAGCAACTCTGGATTCTTTTTTTTTTTTACATTGGGGAATTGGGGGATGGGAACAGTGCTGGGGAATTGGGATAAGGGGAACAAAGAAGTTGCTGTCCTTTTGTTCTTCAGTCTAGTTGTGGAGGACGTTGCTTCACTGGCCCAGGTTGGCACCATCATTGCGCTCTTCCCGGGCGAGGCAATCAGTCGCCGGCTTCTGGACGGTCGCTCAGGGCAGCTGCTAGCTACACACGGTAGCCCATGGCAGCCCACTACAGCCTACGCCGTCACCAGCGACTCACAGCAGCCCAGCTTCAGATTCAGCTGTTATTCAGCATCTTAGCTATAGAGGGCAGTACTACTGGCCCTCATATGTGGGATCCGAACCGGGGCCCTCTGGCTCCCAAGCCAACTCTTAACCAACGCGCTACTCAGCCCGCCCAGCAACTCTGGATTCTAATGTTACCTTTCAGTTGTTGCTGGTGGTTTGATAACCTCCTTGGCTGAATCTGTGAACTCTGTCTCCCTTGTAGTGTGTGCCCACTGCTGTTTTTTCCATTTCTTTTTATTTTCAAAGTTGGCTTCCTTGGGGTCCCCACTGTTATCTGCACAACTGTGCAATCAGGCCACATTGGACAGTTAGCACAGGGTTTGGCAAACATGGCTATTTCATGTGCTAGCTGCAAACCCAGATGCTGTGAGAGCTCTGCTCACCCCGCAGTGGTCTCAGACCTTTACCTTCGGGCCTCAGCTTCTTCCATACCCTCCGTGTCACAAGAGCCAAAGCTCTTCTCACACACCTTCTTTGTTTTATTTTTTAATCTTTATTTTACTTTCTATATAGATAGGTTCAAAAGGTCACACGTATCTGGTAATTCTATGTTGTTTGAGGATATTTAACATTCTTGGATCCATCTCACTAGATCCGGAACCTCTTGCTGACGCCATCTGGATTAAAGGCAGTTTAACAGTGGCCCCAGGGATAATATCAGGAGCTGCAAAGCCAGAGTAAGTTGGGTTTGACCTTCAAGCCCAATAATTGGCTACCATACCAAGATTTGGAAACATCTCCAGCATGGCTGGATGTTGTAGCGCTCCTCCAAATTCAAAATATTGTCCGAATGCCCTTTTATTATAATAATCTTGGACTTCTCAAATAAAATCAACTTAAACAGGTGGTAATGCGATGGAGCCATCTATACATTGTTCAAGAAACACTCAGGGGCCGGCCGAGTGGCGCGATGGTTAAGAACTCACTTGGGATGCTGGAGGGCCCCGGTTCGGATCCCACATATGAGGGCCAGTGACACTGCCCTCCACAGCTAAGATGCTGAATGACAGCTCAACCTGGAGCTGGGCTGCTGTGAGTCACTGGCAACGGCGTAGGCTGCACTCCCTGTGGCAGTGGGTTGCCATGGGCTACCGTATGTAGCCAGCAGCCAGCGTGAGCGGCCAGCAGCCGCAGTGAGCGGCCGTCCAG